GGCCATCAGTCTGCCACCACCCTATCTCCCCCTTACTCTACCAGCTGTCTGCTACCCTCTTATCGCGCTATACTTTCTACCGGCAACCTGCCACCCTCCTATCTCTCAAGACTACCATCTGTCTGCTAGCCTCCTGTCACTCCCTACACTCTGCTCCCGGACGCTGGTATACGCTGGTGGACGCTGGCAGACGCTAGTTCCACGACTATACTTTCCTAGTCCCAGTGGACGCTGCTGCAAAGTATGAACGCAGCCTAGAAAAGTGTGGACCGGATGGTCTATCCCATATGCTCCGCGCGAAGCGTTCACCATTACTTTCAACTTTTCAGGTATGAAAACGAAACATCGGATGCACCTCTTCGTATTCTCCGAATAACATCGCCCATCATTTTCATCAACTGCGATATTATTCGCGAACAAATCGAAAAGCAGGCGATTGCTATTGGAGGGTTAGTGCTACTTGAATTAGACCACCTGTTTCAATTGAAGAGTTTTATCGTTTTTTTCAGCATGGACACAGGAGTGAATAGTCGATCACCATCAATGAGAAGTCAGCCGCTCATCACGACACTGCAAGGATATCCCACTGATCGTTCTAAGAACAGTGTGATCGTTATAACACATGACTCCGAATTTTTGCAGGTGGGTTCCTATACACGTTTCATGGCTTTCTCGCAAAAATCTTGTGTCAGTTTTAGGCAAATCCCCCGGAATGGCCGCCGCTGAGATACATCTTACTCGATTGTTCCGGGGTCGCATATGTGGATCCTGAAGCAATCCAAATGCTTTCACGGGTATGGTTTCTTAGAATGGTCTTGTTTATGATCAACTACAAGGCACTCAAGCTGAATGGGGGGCCAGCAAACGAACCTCAGACAGTCCTCTGTCGTTCAGAAGACTAGCCCAGTCGGAGGACGGGTTTTGGCTCCTCTGGGGCTAAAACGAGGCATGACGCTCATGAGGCATAGCTCCTGACTAGATTCTGCACGTAGTAACGGAGTAGGTAAACACTTTGATCATTTACATTGGACAATGGTCCGAAACCTCGTGATATGTTTGGGATTCGTCAAGCCGTGCCTGTAAACCCACGGTCCTTGACGACCAACATCGCCCGGCGGTTGCCATAAGAAAGGTCGTGGATAGTAGCGACGTTGTCGATATCTGGAAAGGCTGGAAGGCAGATGTTTTCCAGTACCAAAGCTGCAGTCTCCAGAACCTGAGCGCGAGTAAGTCCTCCGGCTTAGGCCACCATAGGATACTGCTGAAGGGCTTTCTTCTTCTAGAGGAGTCCTCGAGAATACTTTACCTTTGGTCCTCTGTTTATAGGAGGGCGAAGGGAGACGTCCCGCGATGGTTGTGTATGCCCTGCCAACTCTTTTCTCGCATATACATGTCTCTTTGTCTCTTACCCCTCCTTCTCCCGCGGATCCTGGCCGATCTCAGCTGCGCCCGTTGTCGCCCTCATTGTCAGATATGGAGTGTAAGAAGTAATCACTGGACTCATTGGGGCTGTGTCAGAGCGACATGGAGCCTGGCGAAACACCGGCCCTTGTCTGCAGGCTTATTCACTCTTCAAAGCTGTAGCGATCGGTGGAAAAAGGCTGGCGCCGCGCCGAAACTCAAGCGCTGACACGCCGCAATGAACTGCGGTGGTTAGGGCTAGGCCATGTCACGCTGTGCAGCGGGCCATGAACTTTGGTTGTGCTTGCCATGAGTAGAAGGTATTCGTTGCAATAAAATGTTTTTGTATTCTAAGTCACTTGGAAGTACTTCTGAAATGTTTCCAGGTATATACCGAGCTGGATGATGATGATTTCAAACTGCTATTTGCTGGTGTTAACGGTGAGAGGCTATTTTTCAGTTTTTTTTCAAGTAGTCAAAAATCTCAATGTAATTCTCAAACCTGCCTTTCAGCAAGAATCCGTGATTTCCTGGAAACAAGCAATTTTTTCGATGTGGTTCCACGAAGTCATTTCTTTCCAACTTTGCAGGAAGCTCTTAGCTCACTCAGAAACGCCAACGTACCGCTTCATACGAGGTGAAGCTAGCCTTCTAGAGTTTTCTAGAATATTTTTGAATCAATTGTTAATATTCAGCGTTTCAATGAACGGCTATCGTGATGTGATCACGTTGTCGACAGCTCCGTCAAATATCGACATATCCTGCCCTTCACCGGAGCCCGTATGAACGCTAATGCGGACGGTACCATGGAGTATTACCTTCCGCACGGGTCACGGACGTTTGGAAAGAAACTGCTCATAAACGGACGGATTTTATTGCCCGATGCAAAAATGGGTGGTGCGAACGTACAAGGTCGCGATGAGGTCTTGCCCGAAGAAGATTTATGGTTGTTTGGAAAAAAAAGCAGTGCTTCTTTGAGATTTTTGACTTTAACCTAGCTTGGAGCTGCTTCATGTTCGTACGTTTTCTGTGATGAACTCCTTCAACAGATCAAGCTCCCCCCCGCAGTATGGCTCGTCGAGCCTGTTTGTCATGGCTGTCGAGCCTGCCGAGTATGCATGTGTTCCGTCTTAACAGGGTATGATTCTAAATCCCCATAGGATTTAAATAGAGGCCTAGGCAGATCGAATAAGGCTCTCGGAAACGCGGCATTTTGAATTAAGACGACCAAACGCGCTATAGGAGGTCTCCCATGCAAGTGTCTAAACGTTGTAGTTTGCGAGCCAATTGCCAGTTTTTTTTGGGGGAGGGGAATGAAGGCATTGGCATTTCTGGAAATAGCAAGAAGGTCGGGAGGCGCAGTTTGTCGGCGGGGGGGCATTTTGCTTTCCATAGATGTGTCGACCCATCTAGGCAGCCGTTTCTCGAGTTGACACGTTTTAGGATAGTGGCTAGACGATCTTACTTCAGCTTCACAAGAGTTCACAAGTTTTACCAGAGTGAGGTTTGTAAACCGAAATAAGGGAAGCAATGATAATACGAAATGCCCCCCCCCCCCCCCCGTCGAAAAACAGGCCGCGCTCGGGATGGAACGACTGCCCAAAGAAGGTAGGCGAAGAATATTTATGGTTATTTGGAAAAAACAGTGCTTCTTTGAGATTTTTGACTTTAACCTAGCTTGGAGCTGCTTAGTTCGTACGTTTTCTGTGATGAACTCCTTCAACAGATCAAGCTCCTACCCGCAGTATGGCTCGTCGAGCCTGTTTGTCATGGCTGTCGAGCCTAGTATGCATGTGCTCAGTCTTCAACAGGGTATGATTCTAAATCCCCATAGGATTTAAATAGAGGCCTAGGCAGATCGATGAGGTTCGGAACGCGGATTCCGAATTAGAGACCAAATGCGCTATAGGAGTCTCCCAACAAGTGCTAAATGGTGATAGTTTGCTACGAATGCAGTTTTTTTTGGGAAAATGAAGGCATTGGCATTTCTGGAAGATAGCAAGAAGGTCGAGAGGAAGACGGCAGAAAGGATAGGGGATAGGGATGGGTGGTGGCGGGTGCAAATTCCAAGGGGGGGTTGTATTTTGTAAATAATTTCCTCATTGGCAGGACGGGCCCTGTACTCGACGACAAGCGTAACCGTGCCTAGTGAAAGACTCCCGCCTTATAGGCCGTCACATGGGACAATGTGATGCACGAAATCCTTTCATAAATGTAAATAGAACATTGTAGAAACACTAACGTAAGTGATCTCTGTGACCCTCTTATTATGAATCGTTTTGTCACGAAGATCTGTAACCTTTTACTTCTCTTATTTACCCAGGCATGTTACGCATAGTTGTAGGGCTTTGTACACAGATGTATAGAACTACTGCTCTTCTTGTGGTAGAGCTTGCCTGTTGTGGAATGTGCCTTTGAATATAAAACGATATCGAGATGCAATAAAGATCATGGTTCCTCATCTATAAGTTGCTGTAGCATATGTATCTGGTGATTGTCTAAGTTTGGACGTTTTGCTTGTGATTAATTTTATTCCGGTGCATAAATCTCAAGTGTTTCTGTGGTGAAAAGAACTGCTACTGGTAAGCAGGA